GGCGCAGTATCTTAGAAATTTATTTTGAATACTTTCTATCTTATTTATATGTACATGATAACTAGGCGACCATACAATATTGGCATACTCCAAGACACTCCTGACAAAAGACATATACACCACTTTTATACATTTAACACTTCTGAAGTCTTTGGTTGTTCGCTTAACATATCCCAACATTTTTAAGGCTCTATTTTTGGTAATATCAATGTGGTAATTAAATGAAATCTTAGCATCAAAGTACACACCCAAATACAATTCACGGATTCCACTTCAACTTGTTTTATCATATATGGAAATAAAATTATCTGTTTTAGTTCCATTTACTTTATATTCTAGATTAGAAATTGGATTTCTTCATGTCCTGTTCGTACTAATTAACATTTTGATGATATTTTATGTTATATTTTTCTTGGGCCACAAATAGCATTTTTTACATTCAGAGGTGGTTCGTCGAAATGAGATAGAAAATGTTTTTTTGCAGTGGCCTTACATGCGAACGCCTTATTGCAAATGTCACAATTATACTCTTTCTCTCTCGTGTGCAAATTTCGATGAATTTGTAAAGTTTGTTTTCTTTTGAAACCCTTTTTGCAAAACTCGCATTCAAAAGGATATTGGTTGGAATGAACACGTTGGTGCATCGATAAATATTGAGATGAAAGAAAACTTTTATTACAAATTCTACAGTCGTAGCTTATTTCCTTCGTATGCGTATTTCGGTGAACTTTAAGCTGACGATTTATCTTAAACGTTGAACTACATAAATCACATGCACAAGGGCGGGCGTTCGAATGCGACAATGCATGATTACGTAAATATGACGAGTACTTAAACTGTTTTAGACAAATTTCACAGACGTGCTGGTGTTGAGGGCTGTGTTTTTTTAGATGCTGAACTAAATGGCTTTTCATTTTGAATTTTAAAGGGCAAATGTCGCATGCATGAGTGTGGTGTTCTGAATGAATGATCAAATGTTGGTTTAGCAGTCGAAGACTTCTGCAAGGTTTAGAGCAAATCCCACAGCACAATACATGCTCGGATTGAGATGTTTGATGATCACCTGTCTTAAAATATATATTACGCAAACGAATATTTCAATAATAGTAGGTTAACTTGTAAGGATGGACATTTTAAAACAGAGGGCAAATAAATATAGCAAATATTGATATATCAGTTATTTATTTTAACTCGTAACTACAGACATGTCGTATGAGCAATGTTATAACAGACGTTGGGTCATTCTGCCCCTTTAAGTTGTAAATAACAGGTAAACAACAAAGAGAACTATAATTTTATTTTACACTGTTTTTAGAAAAATTTCTAAAACATGGTTAGTGAAAAATATTTTTTTCTAAACTGGAAATAGTTGTTTTCGATATGTCACATTTTTAGGGTAAATTTTTTTTCACGAAACAACTTTAGGGTACATTTTATAGTCAAATATTTTTTAACCGCTGCGCAGAATTGGAATGGAACGGCTCAGAGTTCTAGGCAATATGTATTGCAAATATTATAAGTTATTCAGAAAAGAAAAAAATTCGTTCGTCACAAAAACACTGAAGGTCGATGCAAAATGCAGAAAACATTTTTTACACTTGAAAAGCTATAAGTAGTAATGCAAGATGAGTAGTAACAGAATTTTCAGTTTTTATGAATTAAGTTCTATTTCCGTTTACAGCTGAAGCCGCAAAAGATTTAACAGCGTTTAATTAGAAATCGGGTCACACCGTTTCAAGATCCTTATGGACTTTTTGATGTTTCCCTAAACTACGTTTAGCTTTGAACTTTAAATTGCAAATATCCAACCAAAACATCGCTCTTTATTGGAGGATATTTTTACGGAGCTTTATTGCAAATTTTACAATAAAACTGCTTTTCTTTCGTATGAGAATGTAGATGAGCTTTTAAATCGCCCTTTTTTTCGAATTTCATTTTACAAATGTCGCATTTAAATCGTCTATTGTCTGAATGAACCAGCTTATGAGCACCTGTAATTGATAAAAAGCTCTTCCGACAAACTTCACAATTGAACTTTTTTTCTTTCGTATGCTTATTTCGGTGATCTTGTAAAGCAGTTTTTCGCTTAAATGTTAAATCGCACAAATCACATGCATGAGGGCGATCGTTTGAATGTTTGTTTAAATGACGACGATAACTTGTAGAGCGGTTAAACCCTTGTTGACAAATCTTACAAATGAATAATGGTCTTTGTTTCGTATGTTTATTCTTATGCCTAACTAAATTACTTTTCTCTTTGAATCTTTGATGGCAAACGTCGCATGCATGAGGGCGTTCCTCTGCATGAGTGAGCAAATGTTCGTTAAGCTGTAGACTTGTTAGACTCATGGACGTATCATCTGGTCTTAGGTCTAATTGTTCGTATTCAGTCAGATTATGCTCATCAATTGTAATCTCTTCTTTTACTTCAATGTACGCCTCATTTCCTGATCTAAAACAAAAATAATGCCTTTGAAATATTACGCAAACGGATATTTCAAAATGCAGACAGGATAATAAAATTAGGAACAGTGTGGCAA